AATAGTCCGTGGTTCAGACCCAGTTTTATCGAATTATTAACATCCAACTGAAACTTCGTAATAAGTTTGTTCTCATCGTAACCTACAACTATTATATTTACGAAAACTCTTGGAATTGGAGCGTTTTCAATCTGGAGGGGGACAAACTTTGTTTATTTAATTAGGTCCTAAAAACTCGTAAATATCCTTTTGCTTTCTACTTGGATTGTAAGATAATTTGATCACGAATTCTTTAAAAAAAGGTGCTTTACAAAAATATTGGGCCGTTTATCATATACAACCTCGTTATTTTTAAAATTTGGGGTTGTAGGTTATGCCAAACGGCTCAATATTTTTGAAGACCACCTTTTTTTATCAATTTTGTGATCAAATTATCTTACGAACCAAATAGAAAGCAAATGGGTATTTACGAGTTTTTAGTACCTATTAAATAGACAAAGTTTGCGTTATAAGTTTTCGTAAATAAAGTTGTTGTAGGTTATGATTTGATGAAGCTATTTACGAAGTTTCAGGCGGATGTTAATAATTCGATATAAAGGGGTTTGTACCACGGACTATTATTTAAATCTTTTATTTAAGTTATTAACTTAATAACTTGTATTTTGATTAAGTTCATTTTGTAACGGAGGTGATAACGTAGGGTTATTTTTTTATTACTGTTTATTCTCCTCGAAATTATAGATTTGTTTAAGTGTGAAAATCGAACTTGTTCCTACACGAATTTTATGCCAATTTACGAGAGTGTTTCCAGTTGTACATCAAACATTGGCGTAATTTCGCCGTAACAGAGCGAAGTGTTGACAGTGACGGGAGAGCAGGTGCGTAGCCAACGACAAAGAGACAGGCTACTGTCACATTTGTCCATTCTATTGTTCTAACACCTGGCGAATGTTCCATAGCAATACATCGATCCACTCCGGTCCTTATTCATTCCCATTTATCACGCCCTATAGCTGTATGGTGTCGCTGGAGCTTAATTCTTTTATTCCATTCAACCGTTTATAGATTGATCAATCGGTAGGACATTCAGTAGTGGAGCAGGGACAATAACTCTTCAGGAAAAGAGTAGATTACTGGAGGTAATATTGTACAGGAAGTTCCAAATGCAATTTTTAGGGAAAAAAATATTACAAGAATTTAAGTATAAAACATTAAACACATGATCAGAAAATGGAAGTTCTGAATACTGAGATGAATAAATAAAATATACAGAATAATAGTTCAGGATCTTACAATGAATGCATATTTTTTTTAAAATGTGGCATTAAATACAATTAAACAGGAAATATGTATTCTCTATTGTTTTATTTTTAGGTGGTTTAATGAACTACTTGCTGATTCTAATCACAATAATATTCATTGTCGCTATTTAATTATTATTGTAATTAGCATACTTATAACTTATTGTTTTTATTATTATTATTAACCAAATATAAAAGTTAAAGATCAAATTAAATTTGTAATCTGTAAATTTCATTGCAATGGGAAAATATACTGGCAGCTTCACATCACATATCCAGGATATAGACCAGCTCAGTAGCTCTCTTGGCCACCGCCTACTTATTCGTTGTGGTGAGCTGTAAGCGTTTCTTGTGCGTTTAAGGATTTCTGTCAGAGGTTTTGAGTTGTACGATAGTCGTTGATGAAAATTATTGTAGTTTTATTTTGCAGCGTTTAAAATTGTTATGATGTTTCAGTCTTTATGCAATATATCAATTGCGACATAAAACGATGCCTCAACTATCCTTCGCAACACTTTTGACTGGAATGACTGATTTCTTTTTAATGTTGGAGGTTTTAGCAGAACTCCACAGTTCTATGCCGTAAGTCAAAATCAGTATAAATAAAACTTTATTAAGGGTTAGTTTGTTAGTCTAAGGTAAATTCGAACGTCTGTCAAGTAACATATATAAAATACCGTATCCTCTGTTTAATTTTATTCGTTTTCGTATAATGTGAGTTCTCCAAGTAAGTTTTTTCAGATAAAAACTCAAATACATCTGATGTTGAGATTTCAATGTTATTAAAATATATTTCTGGAGAAAATGTATAATTAAGAGTACTTAATAATGTAATGATAAATATTGATTAATTATATAAAGCAATTGAGGCATTTTACAAGAAGAAAATTACTAATAATATTAAGGAAATTGTTAATAAAAAATTAAGATATTTAATTTATTAGTAAAATATATTTTAAACTTCAGAATATTATTAGATTACTCCTACACATTAGTAAAATAATATAAAGGCGATTGTGAAAATTTTAATCTTATACATAATTTAGTGTTTTTTTTATTACTTTCATAAAATCATTGAATGGGCAAGTTCCTTCGGAAATCCAACAGACCGTTTCTAAACTCATCGATGAAAACCGTTCCTTTATTAATCAATTGAATTACCGATGGCTCCTAAGTTCCATCAGCTTTTGGAGTTAATGAATCCGCTAGATGTAATTTCATTATAAACTCGGTGTTGCTATTTTTTAATTTACTATACACATTTATATTCAGTTTTATATCTATCTCTATTCATTTCTTGCTTGAAATTCGAAAATTCAGTAATTAGGAATTACTTTTTTATTTTATTAAATATTTTATTGCCTTCCAAGAGTGCCAATATACCGTTGGAATCAAGCGGATCGTACTTAAACTCAACATAAATCACTAAATGCTATTAAAAAATTTGTCCGTCGAATATTTATTTTCGTTCTATTCGAATTCTAAGAGATCTCCTAAATTCCTACAGCAAAACTTCTTAATACCAGACAGTCATGCTAACTAATTTTTTGTCCTTATTATATATACATACACTTAAAAGAGTTTATGAGTATGTAAAAGACTAAGGGTTGTTAACTACTACTTTTTTTTAAAATAGTGTTATTCTGAACAAACACATATACGTGTATAATTCATGTAATTGTATAATGACATAAATTACATTTACTTTTACATACATAAATTACAAATGCATTTATAATAATTTGGATTTTAAATGACATAATATAGCAAAAGATACGTTAAATTTGAGCATATTTGGATAGGTAAATTATTATATAAAAATAATGATAAACTAAATTTAGTCATTAATAAAATTGAGTTTTTATAAAAACTTTAATTTAAAAAAATTAAAATCTTTAATAAATAGAAAACAGAAGCAATAAAACAGTAAAAAGTTAATTTGGCTGGTTAAATTCTTTAATTTTTTACTTATACTTAATATATTTAATATATAGTAAGGGTAAGTATTGCGATCGTGAAGATTTTCGAGCCTTTGAGTTTTCAACGGAAATACACGTTTTGACTTACCCTGACTCCAAATAACCAAGTCACGAAAAATGGTCTGTGTGTCTGTAAGTCTGTGTGTATGTGTACACTGTAGCTCGAAAACGAAAAATCGTTTGAAAATGATATTACGTATTTAAGATATGTATATGCCATAGATGTCCTACCAACTTTTCCTTAAAATCGGCTAACCGGAAGTGCCACTTTACATCATCGGTGAAACACATTTTTACAATTTTCTCAAAAACGGCTCTAACGGTCTTGATTAAACTCGGTATTTTATTGTATAATTAAGGGCTTTTAATACTATTTAGGTCTTATCTTCGTTGTCACTTTACAGGGTTTAAATACCTCTTCCTCTAAAGTACCTTTAATATGGTTCATTTAAAATAATTAACTATCTCTCATTATTAAAAGTTACGAAAAAATGCTAAATATAACTTTTGAAAGAATTTGATAATTGAATAAAGGGGAAAAATAAAAATGCTTATCCAGATCGAAAATGAATCTCCGTAATTACTAGTCAGAAGGTTTACGAATAATATATCGTTGGAAAGCTGAGAATTTTAGAAAAACCATATGTAATATAGATAGTTGTAGAAGGTAACGGAGAGTGGCGAAAAATAATAATTTCAGAAAACTAATGTTATTTAGCATAAAACTATTTCATTGTACTTGTGTGAAAGAAGAAGTGAAATATAAAAATATTTCATGGATATGTTTAGAACCTCAAATATATTTCCTATAGAGTCTTAACTCTAGATAAGATATTATATTTAAATAATTATACCGTTCCAAAAAGTCATCAAGTTATCTTTTAGAAAATTAAATTAAAGTATAATTTGATGAATTTCCCCTTCATGAAATCCCACCATTATCCACTTACAATTAGTGTGACAACTTTTGACCTCACCATGGCAGGCATGAAAGGCAATGGTATCCTAATATCATTTTTGTAAATTTTACCATAGAAAGTAACAGTTTAATAACTAATAGTCCTACAATCAATAATCATTTATAGGTTAAATATTCACATGTACTTTCAAATCTCTCTAGGCATATATGAGCCTTTCGGTTGACAAAATGACTAACTCCAATTTTTACATTCTTTATTATTAATTTTAGTGATGTTTCTATTGGAGAAAATTATACCTTTATTCACAGTATTATAAAGATATAAACTGAAGTTGTGTAGTTTATAAAAGCAGATGGAGGAACTAGATTTTTATTGCCTACCGTCTTTATAATAAATAGACATTTGTAATTTTAATGGTCTTAATAATTTGGTATCTATAAGCCCAACATTGCCAGAAAATAATTTCTATTCAAAGTTTAGCGGTAAGTGAAAGTTGGGTGTTGCGCGCACCAGATATTTTTCGATGGGAAAGTGATCAACATTACAACGACCTAAAGAGCTACTTGGTTGAAATTGTAGTAGACTAATGAATTCATGAAAAAGCGGAGAGACCAACTTATGCTGTCTTTTATTGACAAATTAAAAAAATATATTATTTTCTTTGTTCGTGTCCTTTCTCTCGAATGTTCCCCAAAAAAATATTTTTGAATGCTCCATTTTTCCGTTGTATTTAAAATTGTCTTATAAATAGAGTGTGTGGAAAATAGGTGTCCTTTGAAGATAAAGGTCCTTATCGATAGGTTTTACTATATTATAGAAACTAATGAATACATTTTGGCTGCTACTAAAGTAATCCATACCCCTTTCTATCTCTGCGTTAATGTTGATCGTCCTCAGCCTCAGTTCTTCGTTCTCATATATCATCCCTCGGGAGGAACTCTTGTCGAGGACGCGGTTCGGCTTGATGCAGACATCGCGCCGCCGAGCTCTTAGCATACCAGGTGACATCCCCTGCAAATAATAGTGACATGTTTAGAATTCATAGTTTTATAAAAACGAAAGTTATAATAAAACATATTAATAAGATCCTTATTAGAATAAGTAAAACAGTCTTGTGTTCTTTAGAAGCCATTCATGAATAAAAATATACATATATTATAACAGAAATGTATTTGACCGCTGATGAAATAAAAAATAAGAAAAAAAAACTGCTTACGAGAATAAATATAATAGGTATTACACCGGGAAGCTGATTAAAAAAAAAGTATACATAAACCAACCTTTATATGCAAAAGCCATTATTGTGATTGATTAAATTTGATTGATTTAAATTATTGAATAATTACTTTTTTTTCTCGCCTCTACCCTAAAGGGACATTGGCGTTTTCTATAATTTATATTCTATTACAGTAATTTGGAATCTTTAAAATATTATATACCTACCTTTAAAGAACTTCTAGTAAATTAGTAGTCGTTGATGACACGGTGTTTTATCTCCTTTAAACAAAAATAAACTAACTTTTTGCGATCTCTTGAAAACCTCAAGACAATATATTTTTACTTCAAAGACTACATAATATAAAGTTAAAGATATTACGTTTAAATAAAACAAATGAGTATAAAATTGGTACAATATTTTAAGTTGATTTTTGTCTATGCTGTTATGAGCTACTATCATGAACTAAATTGGCCAAGTTTTAACTACACTTAGTAAACTTTATAAACTGTATAAATTTTGTTAATGGCTTTAATTAGTTAATAAAATTACAGGGTTTACTCCTTGCGCGTTTACAACTTTAATATTAATTTCATATTAAAAATATTTACTAGTAGTATTCTTGAATTTTTCTCCTCCAATGCTCACTAGTCATTTATTATAAAGAAGTACTCAGATCTCTCTCTCTCTCTCTCTATATATATATATATATATATATATATATATATATATATATATATATATATATATATTTTATTTTTTATTTAGTTATTTTTTCATTTGGCGCTACAGACCATGAAGATCTTTGGTCGCGAGTGTGGTCTTCTTCTAGACCACATTTCGATTCCCGATAGAAAGTATAGAAAGTCGGTGTGTTACCTCCAGTAGGCTGACGGGCCACAAATACACGAGGGAGAGGGGGAGGAATCTCGGGCATCGTGGCTTTCCTTGGTGGACGATCACCCAACCAAGTGCTAGGCCACGCTCGGCGTTGCTTAACTTTGATTATCTGTTAGCCCGCAACAGATATATATATATATATATATATATATATATATATATATATATATATATATATATATATTATATAGTTTCCATGGATTTCTTTACACAATATATTTACAAATTATACATTTTAGAACAATAATTAGAATAAAACGTATAATTCTCGATAAATGTCCGATATTCAACTTGCTAATAGACCTGAAGATATTGAATTGGAAACTAAAACATAAATACACCAGTTAAATTTTGCACATGAGTTGATAAAATAATCTTAGACGAAATATGGTATTGATTGAAGGATAGTAATTGAGTCATTCCATAATAGAAATTATAAAATAAAATAACATTTGAAAAATCAAAAGACTGGGTGGGAGAATTTCAATTTGTTATGAAAAAGGAATTTAGATTAGCTTCTAGTGTCTTTAGGGACTCTTAAATACGAATTTTTAAAAGAAATCAAATAATGCAAAGTTTAATATTTACTTTAAAAATTGACTTGATTTTCTCAGATTTTTTTTTCCGGCCTATAACTAAAGAACCTTATCCATCATCCAAATCCTCTAGCTCAATCCCTATCCAGCTCCCACCACCCCTACAATCCCCCTCGAAGGTTAAAACGGCAGTGGCCGCGAGATCTATTGTAAATATGCTTCTGGAGTCCTGGCAATGGCCAGCTTCTCTACTCAAGTCCTGAGCATCTGTGGCTAGTGCCCTCCTTCAGCCTCCACTGCCTTCTAATAGTAGTGATGCGGCTGGAAAAGTGATCTCTGGAGTCCTGGTTTGCCTTCCACATGTGGGAATAAAGCCTGGTTCGGAGATTCCTGGGCTAATATATATATTGTATGAATGTGTTTAGAAGTTTTTATTTTATTTGGGATGTTTATTTTTTTTTCCTATTGATTTACATTTTTTTATCAGTATTATTTATTTACTTTTATATTTATAGTTATTTTGTTTATTATTTGTATATACTGTATGAATGAGAACTTCTAGCCTTGATACTTATAGCCCTCCAACAGTGGCTGATTGTATTATTATTCAATAAAATAAAAACTAAAGCATTTATAACTTTCCAGGATTTTCTCTAAATCCAACGTTACAAACACTGGAAAGCTGATTTACTGCTATTCCAACCCAGTCCAGATTTCAGTCCTTTGTTAATTAGAAATTACGAAAAACTTTTCAATATTTTTTTATATTATTATATTTTTGGTTCAAATTTGTTTACGGAGGACGTTTTTGTAACATTTCGTGTAGCACATAAAGCCCTAAATTTCTAATAATCTTTGTGTGGATTGGCGGAGCCATTCTATAGTCGTCATCTAAATTTCTAAGGATTCAGCTTAGCCAAATATTTAACTTTTTTTTTTTTAGGTTCGAAAAACGAATGTGAACTTTGGTTTTTCCTAAAAGATATTTAATCTCACATTGTTACGTTGGATGGTCCATATTGTAGCTATCAGCCAAATATAATAATTATTCGGAACCGGTCTGGTATCTAGAGTAAATTAAAAATAAAAAAATGATTGAGAAATTTGTCTTATTTTCTATTTTTATAAGGAATGAAATCTGAAAAGTATCGATGTGGGTTGGAATAGCAGTAGTTCTGCCTTCCAACGGTTGTACTAACTTATAATTTGAAAAAATCCTGAGAAGTTTTGAAATCTTTCATTAACGGCCAAAAAAATAAAAAATACTCAAATAATATTCAGTATGATTTTCTAGGAACACTAAAAACGGAATCTAGTTTGTTTTTTCTTAACAAAATTTACATAGACTACTTTAATGGAAAGGTCTTTTGGTTTTTGTAATTTATGATAGATTATAGCTTATTTAATATCACAGTCAATAGTTTTTACTTATTCCGCACAAAAAAAGGTATATAATGACCAAAATGTCAAAGCAAAGGCAAAAATAAATTTTGTTTCAAATTATATAAAATTATTTTTCTCCGCTCCTAGGACCCATTATAATGAACGAATGGACATGTGTCTAATATTTTTCAATGTAGTATTCGCTGACAAAAAACTCGGCATGTACTCGGAAAACGCGACTCAATGCTTCGTACTTTTTACTCAGTATATATACACACATACACATATATATATATATATATATATATATATATATATATATATATTCAAAAGCAATACGTTAAACGTTATACAGTAAACTCGTTATTTCTATGTAAATCAGGTCTATTTCTCATTGAAAATATCTGACAATGCTTAAATCTCAATTTTTTAAAATTTCTTTTGTTTTGTATTTTAAGAAATAATTAAAGGTCTCTAATTGTTAGTACTAATACAAGCTAGATAAATATAATTAAAAAGAAAATAGGAAAATATTTTTGCAGGTTGACAATAAAATTTCAATTAAAATGAAAGTTGTTATGTAGATGAATGACTAACATATACGATCGTAGAAAGTAATAGATAGTGACGAAAAACTAATAAATTTTAATTTTTGTATGTAATAATTGTTCCATTCATTTAAATGGTTTCATGGGAACTAAATAGAATTTTTATTGAAAATATATGAAAAATATATCTTTTTTGAGCTTGATAAAACAAAAAAAAATCAGATATTTAGAATTTTCTTGATTTATATTAATTACCCTAAGTTTATATTAATATTTAAAGCATTATTGTCAAGTTTTATTATTATTTTATTATAACAACAAAATGAATAATATAAACGTCAATGGGTTAAATTCAAAATATTTCTAATATTAAATATTTCTTAAATATAAAAATAAACATACTATATATACCGGTTACCGATTTGTACAAGAGCAAGCGATGGTATCCACTGGCAAAGAAGGAAAGGGAAAGACTGGCTGGCCCCAGAGCGCCTGTACAAGCTTAAGTATCGACTTAGTACAAACTATCTTACCCCAAAGCTAAATAAATAAGGAAACGCGTCTCTTAAAATAAATATAGTGTAAAAAAAGATTTTACTCTAAATAAATTAATTAAATTTCAACTAGAAATATAAATGGAATGTTAGAATAATTCAACAAATCAACTCCCTCAGGCTGTTGAACCTATAAACATTTATATATCAGTAACAGTTCCTTCTCCAACTGTACGTTATGTTTTGACTTCACACATTCGTATAGAAACTTGATTAGGTCGGAATTTCGAAAGATATAATTTTAATTTTGTTTCTTTATTACCTCTGTTTGGTAGAATTAGGCACTATTTTGTTTAACTAATATTAATTTGATCCAAGAAAAAAATTTGACAATAATATATTATATTACCCCCTCGCTTCGTTGGTAATTAGATTATTTTAATTACAATTGGAGGTATTTGACATGGGGTTATTTAACTAATCCACATAATATGCAAAAAATAGTGGTTGTTTTGAATGGAATTATGCTCACTATTTTGAACAGAAAAGTCGATCTCTAAAGAAAAAAACAAAAGCAAAATCTCATTTAAGTTAGATTTTTAACAATCTATTGATTTTAGAGCAATATTTTAGTTTGGACAAATTGTAGAACAAAATTAGTTTTGTAAGAAAAAAAAAAACACCGTCAGATTAAGACTTTTAAGAACGTTTTTCTGAATTGCAATCTTATTTATTGATGAAAAATATTCATATAAGTCCACCAATATGACACAAAACCATTTGTTTGTCAAATATAGTTAGAGCAAACATACAATTTTCTGAGTTCACAAAATGAAAATTTATCTTATTTATTATTATTATTTCACATCTACAATGGTATTTATAATATGTAATAGTTGGGGAGCTATTAGGTCAGCCAAAAATTGCATTTATGT